TTAGTAAGCAATTGATCAAAACTGCTCCGCAATTTAGGATGGTGTAAGTCGGCCGAGACTATCAGTCTGCTGCTCTAATTTTTGTCAGAGTCATCAGCCTCGGGGGTTAACATAAATTGAGTTTAAAACCAAAACAACTCCTTCTTTGATGAGACTCCGAGTAATTAACATTGTATTGTACGTAAATATCATTTGTTACGTTGACATTCGTGTGGTATCAACTTCTTCCTTTTCCGCGACTGCCGCTCCCTTCTCCACAGAGTTCGCCTCAGCTTCTCCAGAAGGTGTTTCTGCTTCGCTGATCGGCTCAACGATAGCAGCCATTTGTTGGTTTAGTGACTGGAAATACTTCTGGGCGTGAGATCTACCACAGAAAAAAAACTTCGCTCCGCTGTACGACGAAGAGCATTTTACCGTATTTGAGCGCGAGTTCGCGTTCCAACATGTGCATGTACTTTCTGCCAATCTCGTCCATAGAGACCTACTGCATCTACGAATCTGAAAATTCGATGATGAATTGGAACATTATACAGTGTTATATAATTCCTATTTATACCGTCAACATGAATACCATAATTTTTGCTACTCTAAGCAAGGCTGCGCATTTGTCCTTACTCACTAAGTAGTACAATTTTAGTGCAGTTTCACAACCCGTTTTACGTGAAGTGGCGTACAACTCCGTGAAAAGCGCAACATTCGCCCTATGTAGTAGTCGTGAGAAATGTTTTTCACTAGTGTTTTTCATATCATGTTTAACGATCTCGTGGTGCACATTTGACAATTTTTTCATTTATATTTGTATATTTATCTCTTTCTATATCCCTTTTACTGGCCGGAGCATGATATTGTCGAACTAAGATAATACTCGAGTACTTTATCGCAGTTTACGGTATACAAACACGCATTTTTACAAAATCCATACACCTTGGAGTTTCACAACCCGTTTTACGTGAAGTGGTTTTATACTCAGTGGAAAAAACCGATATTCGCGGTGATATGCAGTAGCCGTGCAATATACTTCATATCACTAGGGCAGTCTTTTATTGATTCTCGCGATAGCGTAATACAGCCTTATTACCGTTGATTCTCTTCTGCTGTCCATCGGTACGGACCCGACTGCATCCCAGTACTCGATTCGCTGGGAGGCGGCGGGGACGAGGGCGGTGTTGATGATGATTCAACTGATGATGCTGTTTCACGTAGGATTTCCTCGATGTTGATTGCTGGAGGGGGCTCACGGATAACCTCGGTCTTAATGGTATGTCT